CCAATTCTGACCAAATCTGCCTCTTCAATCCAGGCGCCCTTCCAAAGTTTCGGCCTCCAGGATCCGTGTTCGGACGCCACAGCCATCGAACACTGAACGGGGGCGAAAAGCTGGCCTTGGGAAAGGGGTCGGGGCTTTGGAGGAGGAGGGAAAGGAGGGGGTGGAGGAGGAGGAGGAGGAGGAGGAGGAGGAGGTGGAAGAGGAGGAGGAGGACGAGGAGGAGGAGGAGGAGGGGGAGGAGGAGGAGGAGGAGGAGGACGAGGACGAGGAGGAGGAGGAGGAGGACGAGGAGGAGGAGTGAGGAGGAGGAGGACGAGGAGGAGGAGGAGGAGGAGGAGAGGAGGAGAGAGGGGGAGGAGGAGGCGGAGGAGGAGACGAGGAGGAGGAGGAGGAGGAGCGAGGAGGAGGAGGAGGAGGACGAGGAGGCTGGGGTCGCGCCGCGCGGGCGCCCGCGTGGTCACCCCGCGGCCTGCCTCTCTCCGCCTCCCCTGGACCGCTCCGTCCTGGGCCCAGGATCGGTGCGCACACACATCTTGCTGGCTCGGCCAGGGAGGATCGGGCCGGGCGAAAGGGGGGGATATAAAACAGGGCTAGGATCGGGATAAATCGCTCCAGAGCGTTCTGGAGCGCTCTCAGAGCGTTCCGAAGCTCTGGAGCGGCCGCGGCGCCCAATACATCCTCCAAACCCGCCGATTCTCAGAGATTTCGAGTTATCCCGATCCGATTTTGTCCCGATCTCTCGCGTCGTTTTTAGGATAGCAAAGGGGGGGGGGGTTGAGACTCAGCTCCGTAGCTGATTTTCCCGGCGCCTCCCGGCGCGGGGAGGCGTCCATATATATATATATAATATATATATATATATACATAATATATATACATACATACATATATATATATAGAGAGAGAGAGAGAGAGAGAGAGAGAGAGAGAGAGAGAGAGAAAGGGCCGGCGGCGGGGCCGAAACCAGCTGCACGCAGCAGATTTCATACCCCCCCCTTTCCCTATCCCCCCCTTTCGTTCGGCCCGAGACGATGCGCACCGGTCCTGAGCCCCAGACTGGCCTGCCGGGGATCGGTGCAGGTGCACATTTCTCATCGCCCGATCCCCCTATCCGCTTCCCCCCTCTCTTCATGCCCAAAGACCCCACTTTCCATAAGTTATGCGTCGATTGCCCATTGCAAACCAAAAAAGAAAACCTAAGACGCACCGTGAAACAATTAAGCGATATTGAGCCCCTACCAGCCGAAACGGGTTCTTTCGTCAGCGACCCGGCTGTACTCGGACACTTGGAAGAGCCGGGGGCGTCCTAGAGGGGGGCGTCAAAGAGGGGGGGCGCAAATCATGTCCGGCGGCACGTGCGCGGCACAAGGGGGCGGCCAGGGACGTATTGGAATATGACGAAGCGCCATGAAATCTGGGGAGATCTCATGGCCCCCGCCGTGAGATCAATCCCCTCTTGGCCGCCCCCGAAAGAGGCGCTACCGATGTTCGGCCTCTGGGGGACCTCGCCGGGCCTCGGGACCGTCAAAAAACGACTCAGGATGAACACCCGGTCCTGGGGAAGGGGTCCAGAGTTCTGGGGGTCGACGTCATGAAAACATCATGACGTCGGGGGTCTGGGCCTCCGTCCTCCACCCTCCCGCCCCTTCGCCCCCGCCCTCGCTTCACTGAAGGGAAACTGGGACACACAAATAAATACACACAAATAAAAATATTCCCCATATTTTCCTGTATTTTCTGGGTTTTTGTCTTCCCCACCACTTCCCATATTTTCCCACCCTTCGCCCCCGCCCTCGCTTCACCCGCGTGCCCCCTCGGCTGCACGCAAAGAGTGACACTTGGGCAAGGGTGAAGCCTTTGCTGCTCGGCCTGCGGGGGCCGCGGGAGAGGCCAGACACACACAAGCCGCCCAAGCGCGGCAGCCAGTGCTGGCGGGAGCCCTGTGAGCCCGCACTGCAGGCCACTCCGGCGAGGGGCCTCTCCTACGCGCAGCCGGTTCTGAGACGAGACCAAGACGAAGATAACATCGGGCGCGGATAAGCAGAGAATCTCTGAGACCCGGCGGATCTGGAGGATGTGTAAGGCGCCGCGGCCTTCCTCGAGCGTCCCGGAACGCTCCGAGAGCGTCCTGGCACGCTCTCCTCTGGAACGGATCTATCCTCGTCCTAGCCCCGTCCGACCGACCCCCCTCCTCGCCGCCACTGTCACGTCGCCCGTCGGGCTGGCGTTCGGAGCCGAGGGCCAACGCGGCGTCACACGGGGGTGCGGCGACACGCGCGCCCCGCCTCTTCGTCTCCTGCCTCGAGTAGGGGATCGACCTCAGATTTAATCCCACCAGCCCTTTGGGCGTGAGTGGTTTAGAGAGCCCGCTCTGTTCTCAACCCTCCTTCCCCTTCGGGGAGGGGTTTGCCCCTCCCCCTACCCCCTCCCCCTGGGCCTGGAGAGGTCCTTTCGCGGGTGGTCAGGGGGGTCCTTTTCGACTCCTGGGAGGGCTAAAAACGACACCCCTCACGAGGATTCTGGCCCCGACGGGGGGGACCAGAAAAAATGCTCTCCTCTTCTTTGAAACCAAAATCATTGATTTTACTACGGTTTTGGCCCCATTTTGGCCTTCTGAGGGGGCAGCGCTCATTACAGCTCCCCTCTTCCTTCAAGGCAAAATCATTGATTTTACGAAGGGTTTGGGCTCATTTTGCCCTTCTGAGGGGGCAGCGCTCATTGAAGCTTCCCTCTTCTTTGATCCATCCCCTCCAAGATGGCCCCAAGAAGCGCCCAGGAGGCACCAAGAGGCCCCAAGATGGCCCCAAGAGGCCCTCAGGAGGCCCCCAAGAGGCCTCCAAGAGGCCCCCAAGATGCCCCCAAGAGGCTCCCAAGAGGCCCCAAGAGGCTCCCCCGAGGCACCCAAGACGCTCCTGGAAGCCCCTGGGGCCGCCAAGAGGCCCCCAAGACGCCCCAAACGGCCTCCAAGAGGCTCCCAAGAGGCCCGAAGAGGCTCCCCCAAGGCACCCAAGACGCTCCTAGAAGCCCCTGGGGCCGCCAAGAGGCCCCCAAGACGCCCCAAAAGGGGACGAGGTGCCCGAACGCCTCACGCCACGAGGAGCCCGAACGACTCACACCAGGACGAGGGGCCCGAACGACTCACACCACGAAGAGCCCGAACGACTCACACCAGAAGGAGGGGCCCGAACGACTCACACCAGGACGAGGGGCCCGAACCTCACACCACGAGAAGCCCGAACGACTCACACCAGGACGAGGAGCCCGAACGACTCACACCACGAAGAGCCCGAACGACTCACACCAGGAAGAAGGGCCCGAACGACTCACACCAGGACGAGAACCCCCAAACGACTCAAATCACGAGGAGCGCTTTCTCTCCCTCCTCCTCCGCCTCGTCCTTCTCCCGCTCCCCTCACAAGGAGGATGTACAAGGAGGCGGGAGGAAGGAGGAACAGGGGAGACATGCGGGGGCAGGCGGAAACACGCCTGAAAAACACGACTGTCGGCATGCTTCGCAAGAGTTGCTGTTTTGAGATGGGCTGGTGGGGATACGCGAAGCGTAAAGAATTTACCCCGAAATTGATTTCCTCGTCGAATCTACGCAACCGCAGACTTCCCCATAGTGCTGCGAACATCCTTCGCATTCGTCGTAGATTCGACGGGGATGTACAGCTGTGGGGCTTAATCGGCTCTGTACACAATCCCGTACTTCACTCCCGCAGCCTCGCCTCGTGCCGTCCTACCGCGCCTCCTGCTCCCTTCTCCTGCTGCTCCTCCTCCTCCTCCTCCTCCTCCTCCTCCTCCCCCTCCTCCTGATCCTCCTCCTCCTGATCCTCCTCCTCCTCCTCCTCCTCCTCCTCCTCCTCCTCCTCCTCCTCCACTCCTCTTCTTGTTCTTCTCCTGCTCGACCCTGGGAGCGCGGGACATCGAATTCCTCCTGCTTCTCGTCCTCTGGACCTTCCTCTCCTCCTCCTCCTCCTCCTCCTCCTCCTCCTCCTCCACTTCCTCCTCTTCCTTTGCTCCTCCTCCTCCTCCTCCTCCTCCTCCTCCTTCCCTCCTCCTCCTCCTTCCCTCCTCCTCCTCCTCCTCCACCTCCTTCTTGGCCTTTCGTTCTCCTCATCCTGTGGGGTGCAGAGAGGATGATGGGAGGGGTCCTTTCCTCTTCCTCCTCTTCCTCCCCCCTTGGAATCGGGAACACCAGGTGTCGATCTCTCTCTCGCCTCGACTCTCCTCGACTCCCATCTCCCTCTTCCGCCGCACTTCTCACTCACCAGCCCACTCGCGCCACAAGATCCAGCATGCTCCTCTCGACGTTGGACATATCCGCACAGATGCAGCCCGGGCATCCGCCAAGGGCCAAGTACCGCCCCCAGAGCCGAATACGACTCATGCTGCTGCTCCCCCATCTCCGCATCCCGACCTCCTCTTCCTGCTCTTCCTCTCAACGCCTCTCCTCCTCTTCTTCCTCTTCCTCCTTCTTATTCTTCTCAGGGGAACAGAACTTCCAGGAAACCTCGAGGCAACATCCTCTGCCACAACCCTGGTGTCCTCCTCCTCCTCCTCCTCCTCCTCCTCCTCCTCCTCCTCCTCTTCGTCCGTATGATCCTCGTCCTCGTCCTCGTCCTCGTCCTCGTCCTCCTCCTCCTCCTCCTGCTCGTCCTCCTCCCCCCCCTCCTCCTGGACGTCCTCCTCCTCCTCCTTCTGTTCCCTCCTCCGCCCCTCCTAACCTCCTCCTTCTCCTCCTCCATCCTCCTCCTCCTCCCCCTCGCTCCTCCTCCTCCTCCCCTCCTCCTCCTACCCTCCTCCTCCCCTTCTCCGCCCTCCTGCTTCCCACCTCCTGCTTCTCTCCTCCTCCTGCTCCTCCTCCTCCTCGTCCTCCTGCTCGTCCTCCTCCTCCTCCTCCTCCGCCTCCTCCTCCTTCCCCTTTTTCTCCCCCTCCTGCTTCTCCTGCTCCTCCTGCTTCTCCTCCTCCTCGTCCTTCTCCTCGTCCTCCTCGTCCTCCTCCTCCTCCTCCTCCTGCTACTCCTCCTCTCCACTCCTCTTTGTTCTTCTCCTGCTTGGCCCATGGGAGCGCTGGACTTCGAGCTCCATCTCGCCTCTCCTTCTATTACCTCGTCGGCCTGCTCGTCGCCCCCCCGGAGCAGAGAAGCGGAGACGAGGCGCGGTGGCCTGAACGACGCCGTTGAAGATGGTCCGCGCGTCCTGGGCGTGCGCACAGAGCTACACGTCGGTCGGAAGAAGTAGGTAGAAACATGAAGTAGGAAGGCGGACATAGTAGATTGGGCCCAGGGCCCCCCAGATAATAACAAAACACAGCAAAAGCGTGACGATTCTTGAAGTAGGAAGGCGCTTGAAGTAGAATGGGACCTCGAGCGTTCCTGTCAATCTTTTGCACCTTTTTCGAACCGCCGCGGGGTGGCGGGGCTTCTCGTCGCCACTCCTGGAATACCTGCAAGCATCTGGTTCGCATGCACCCCCCTCCCTCCCTCCCTCTGTCTCTCTATCTCTCTCTCTCTCTCTCTCGCTCTCTCTTTTTCTCGCCCTCTCCGGGCGAGCGTCGGTCCTGACAGTCGTCAGGCAGCGAGCGACCAGTGGTCGGAACGCCTGGGCCTTCCGCGGAGTGCCGGAGGTGCACTGCGGCGGCGGGCGGGAGCTAGTGTCCGCCCACCTCCGAACGAGCTGGCAAACGCCTTCCTCACCTTGTGCGCAACACTGGCCATCGCTCGGACGTCCATTCCCTGTGTTTTTTTGTTCCGGTGTCGTGCGTGGTTTTGCCAGGCAAACAATCCAGGATGCTCCTCGATGGTCCTCGCCGCAGGAAAGATGCACACGTCCGAGCGATGCCAAGAGCACTGCTCATCACTCCCTCTCTGGTTATGTTGCTCCCATTCTACGTAATGACCGCGTCCCAGGAAATAACTTCGAGCACACGGAAAAGTGCCAAAAGAGGGTCGAAACGGTGTCGAAACAGTGTCGGGCGAGTGTCTCCCAGGGCCCGACACGTGAAAAACCCTAAGTTTCGGCACCTTTTTTGGGGGGGGGGGGCGCTCGAAATTCTTCCTGGTGGTCAGGGCTAAGAAAGTAGGTTGGAGCAACACCCCCTATCTTTACCAGCCTGGAACATATCCCTATCCCTATGCTGGGCACCTCCTCATCACGATGCCAATCTTAGGCATTCCCTTCTTTCTTGAGGGCGAATCCCCAAGATTGTCGTCGCCTTTTGGCGTGTCAATCTTAGGGATAGGGATACGTTCGAGGATGGCAATCTCTGGCTGGAGCCCAGGTGCTCCCCAGCGCTCCCCAACGCTCCAGGAGCGCCCAAGCGCTCCGCAAGCGGCCCCGAGCGCTCCCCGGGCGCTCCCCAGACGCGGCGGGAGCGCCCGAGCTCTCCCGGGCAGGCGCCAAAGGCGCTGCCCAAAAGGCGCTCTCCCAGGCGCTCTCCCAGACGCCTGACGTGTCCCCAAGGCCCGGCCGATAGGCCACTATCTCCCAGACGCTGCAGGGGCCCCCCCAGCGCTCCGCAGGCGGCTCCCGGCGCTCCTCCGAGCGGCCTGGGGCGCCTGTGGGCGCTCGCGAGAATCCCTCCGAAAACTCCCAGGCGTTCGCAGACGTCCCACGGGCGCCCAAGCGCTCCCGAGCAGCTCCAGGTGCTCCCCAGGCGGCCCCAGGCGCTCCCAGACGCTCCCGGACGACGCCTCCACACGCTCCCAAGCGCTCCCAGTCGCCCCCAAGCGCTTCAGAAGCGCTCCCGGAGCCCTCCCAGAGCCCCCGAGGCGCTCCGAACGCCCGCAAAACGCTCCAGGAGCGCCCAACGCCCCCAGGCGCCCCGAGCCGCTCCCGGACGCTCCAGGAAGTCCCAGTGGGCCCCAGGAACTCCGGTAGACCCCAGGCAGCCCCAGGAGGCCATAGGAAGCCCCAGAAGAGGCTCCAGAAAGCCCGATGGGAGCCACAGGAGCCCCCGAGAAGCTCCCGCAAGCCCCCAGGAAACCCCAATCGACGCGGCCAGACGGACCCCGACAAAGCACTTCAACTCATTCCTTGCAAGCCCCCCCCACCCTCCCACCTCGCGGTGGGCGCGTAGCAGTTCGCCCGCATATGCCGTGCGTTTGCGACGCATCCGCAAAGACATCCGCGCGCACGCGCGCATACGCAGTCACACAGCGAGGTGCCATCACTCTCGCGGGTCGAAGCCACGGCGCCGAAGCATCCTTCCGCCGAGGCGACGCCCCTCGACGGAACGCCCGAGCGAACGGTCTGGCCCCCCACTCCCGCAGGGACCCTGACCTTCCAGGAGGGCTAAAAAATAGCACGCGACTTAAACACCTATTCCAGAGCTATTCTACGTCTTGGTTTTAGG